AGGGTCTATTGGCAAGGAGTAACTTGCGAACAAGAATGTCGGACATATTATAATCAGGTCTAGACTACTACACACTCTCTTAAATAAAATGCATAGTCTAGATATCTTTGCTTCTTCATAAAAAGATATCCTATTAAGCGTATTAAAAATAGGAACTGATCTAGCACGGTTATCACTATCTAAAATTGTTCCCGCTGCAGCTCATTTTTGCATTTTAAATCACTAAATATAAGATCTAATTTAGCTTTAGGGCCTAAAGTCAAAACTGAACTGCCATACATAATAATTGCCTTGATTGTAGCTGTATAATAACAGATTCTCTCCTCTAACGGTAGGAAGTTCTTTATTCTTTTCAACAGACCTATCCTATTTGCGACTGAGATTTTTCTGCAGATCCTTCTGAGAGTGCTTCAGTGTTCTATATCTATGAGTTAGCCGTGCCCTGAATTAGATCAGCCCTAAGAGTGTTTCAGGATTCAATCAGCCCTGGTTCAATCTGTGAGTTAGCCATGCCCTGACTCATGGATCAGCTCAGAGATTGTTTCAGGGTTCGATAAAAAATTGGCGATTTACTATATAGATCTTCGTAAAAGTTTGACTATCGCGGTACGTATTTCTCCAACTCGCATACAGTAAATAATTGGATTCAATACACTATTTAACATCACGAGAGTCCACTGAGTTCCTGCAATGAAAAACCCTTCGTTTCTCGCCCAGACATTCTGGAAACACAATTGCAGGATATCGAAGGCCACAGAAGCAATAAAGCTGAACAAAAATGCCCCACTAACATAGTACATAGTGTTGACAGATTTCTTGTATCTGGGCATGTCTATAGCCGGTTGTAMTGATTGCTGTTGGACTTGGATCTGCAATGAATGTCGCCGGATGACTCGAGAGATTTTGACAAGAAGAAATATGTTTATAACTCCTAAAGCAATATACAGGATTAGGAACACTATACATCCTTCATAAGAAACAAGCATTAAACTGCCAGTCGCCACATTGAAAGCTAGACAAAATACCCAAATACAAGCTAATGCTATACCGCATCGTTTGGTTGTGACAAGTTCTTGGTATCGCAAGTGAAGATGAACAGCCAGGAATCGATCTGCAGTGATGGCAATTATATTCAAAAATGACACTAAGAGTATCACATTGGATATTGAGAGGAAGACGCGGACTAATACTTCTT